CAATGATTGGCATAGAAACATCTGCACTAACGAAGATCCAGTGAATGGGTTTGCGTAAACCCACGTTAAGGTAGACGTACATTTTGCCATACGTAGCGATCGGTTTTCCGTTTGCCGCCTGTAAGTTTAGGGTCGATTCGTGAAGTCGGTCGTTAAAATTTGCTGGGAGAACGCCAACTTCTGCGCCAGTATCGACGAGGTGGCGAACTCTCGTTGTCACATCTGTGACGAATAACAGACGGCTTTGTTCGCCGGCTACGGTTGCCGTTAACGCGTGCCGGCTTGGAAGTTTCCCCAGTTGTTTTTCGAGTCACTCGGTTTCGTGTTGAGAAAATTGCAATTTCTGGAAAACTTTCCATACTGGTTATGATACCAGCACCAGTCGGGGTTATCTGTCTCTCGTGGTCTAGAGACAGATCGCTTGCGAGAAATGCTTCTACGTGGTGTGCGCGGTCTCTTACGGTCGGTACGAAGACTAAGATAACGCGTGAGTGTGTGACATAAGTCGGTTATATCATTCTGAGTCGTGTGAGGCTTTTCTTTGACTGAAAATACCTCGGTAGTAGATTTCGTAATTTCTAAAATGCGGTCGGCAGATGCAGCTAGCTCGTCTAAGGCGTTGTTCTGGAACGAGACCAGAACTGCTTGCACCTGTTGGGGAAGTTTTGACAAGAAGAGTTGTTTGAATAGGCCTTCGTCGAAAGTTCTTGGGCCTATCACCTCTCTCATCCGTTGCAACATGTCTGTCGCAGAACCGTGTTGCAGGTCGATGTTATTGAAGAGTTGATCTAACCTTCGTCGATCAGTTAGATCTCCTCGTTTAAGAATCGAGCGTTTTAAGATTTCGTAAGGATCGGAAACATCACTAGTAAACATACTAGGTGTTACGTACCTGTTGAATTCGCGCGGTAGTGCCTTGACTACTGCGAGGAATTGTGCACGTGTGTCGATCACGCCGTGCTCAGAGAAGTCGGCTTCTGCGTAGCAAAACCAGGCTTCGATGTTGTCGGGCCAGAAAGGCATCAGTTGAAACGAAGGCGGGGACAAAGTCTTAAGCTTGAGTACTTTAGGTGTCTGTTCAGTCATGATGAAATATGAAGTACGATAATGAACGAGGGGAAAAATATATATCCAAGAAAAAACACGAAAAAAAATCACAGTGTTTGAAAAAAATAAAAAAATAAGGCAATGATATATAAAAATCCCAAAAAGGAACAGACTCACAGTTGCGATTAGGTGTACCAGATCACGTCGGTCTCACCAATGATGATGTCACAGGTATTCAGTGTTTGACAACGCTTCTACCAGTAACACCTTCTAGTATATTTCGTTCCCACCCAGAGAAATCAAAAGACAGAGTCGAGGAGATCGGAAGAGTATATTTGGCGATGACCAATATATCGGAATTCTCTGATCTAATCTGGCTAGCGATTGCGGTTGATGTTGAGCACGGCGTTACCACACGTGATCTGGTGCGGATGCCTGACCGAGCGCCTTCAGCTAGATGAGTCCACTAAAACATATGGTCGGCATCCAATGTCGTAAACTTACAGTGCTATTTATTTTGGGGATTTATTTACCGCTACATCATAAATACCACAGATGTTCACAGAACTGAGCGTGTTAAGTCACACGTTTCCGCTTGTACGAAAACTTAAATGGTTAATCTAACTTTTCCGTACGAACGAACAGTTTCAATTTTGTTAAAATTCATCAACAGATATAGTTATTAGCATCTGTCTTTTCATGTCATTTTAAAAATGACACTTATCATTTTTTATCTAAGGGACGATTATTAAGGGTTTATCACGAATTTCTATGTCTTTTATTTGAATTATTGTTATTTGAATTATTGTTATTTGAATTTTTATATTACACATGAAGTCAGTGTACACAAAAGACTGCTTAACATGAACTCATGTCTAGTATACTTGGCAGACAACACGCTGTGGAACAAGAGCTGGGTAGTCTTTGGAGTTTGTTCGACAGGAAACGGCATGTTTGAAACTTTATAGTTTGTAGGCCATATATTATAAGTAATTTTTATTCTATATGTAAGGGAAATTTTGGGGCATTAATTATCTTGTTGTCTAGGGACACAGATTCACAGCTTTTCGTGCCAATTTCGATATCACATTTTAAGAAGTCATTATCAATGTAGGGCATAACACAAACGTTCATTTGCCCAAGTTCTCATTCCAAATTTGGTCAACTAAATTAATTTATCAAGAAGCGTAGTAAAGTGGTCAAAACAATAGTAGTATCAATGATATAACATTTACTTTAAAAGGTTATGTTTCACGGCCATAGGGTAGAGAACAGTAGAGTGAACTCAGAGGAACACATCCCACCCATGAATCCACTGTTGCACAAGGTGTCCATAATACTCCGTATAATTTCAGGGTCTTTAAAAACAGAACCGTTCTGTCTGCATATTCTAAATCAGTAAGTAAATCTGCTAGATTGTTCCTCGAAACAGCATAAAACCATGTCATCTCTGTGAAAGTGTAAGGTAAAAATCTATTCCTATTACTTACGACTAATGTGCAAGATTTCGTCAGGAGCTTTTCAAGCTGTCTTTAGCCTTTATTTTGCTGTAAGCGTGATCTGGCAGGTGTACAAACACATATTAATCCACTTAATGTCATTGAAGTCCACTAATTTTCTAAACCTTTTTTATCTAATCCGCCGAAAATTGACACCATCGATCTCACATAAGTTCGTGTATTATACTAGGCTACATCAGACTGAACGTCTCCTTAGTTACTGACTACGTGGTCCTCTAGTTGTTTCTGGAACATACTCTTTGGTATTTCATCATTTAGTTGAGCTCTGAGAAATTTTTTGTGACGCTTCTGCCTCCCGTGAAAATCAGTGAGGTACTTGCTTTCGGCTCCAAGAGAGTCAGCAATCTCCAATTTTACTTCTTCAATGACAAATAATAGCCCTGTGACCTGTCTGTTTCCATATTTGTAATCATATTGTTAATCACTAAGTTAATTAATATATTTTCTTATGCTTAACGACATAATTTCCTAGGAATAAAGTGTTGCCTGAGCATATTTTTAGATATGCAGTTCCATGAACTGGAGCGTTGAAAGACTTGTCTAAGTTTCTTTAAGACCAACTTAGTCTACTTACTAATGCATTAAAATTACTACCAACGATTACTGCATCTGAGCGTTCTGATGGAAGTCAGAAAGCCCTCGATAAAACTCGTCTACTTCATCTGGTCTGCAAACAGTAGGGGCGTATGTACTTATTTTTCGAAGATTTTACTTGACCATTTATTCTGATTGCAGATGGACAATTGTTGACAATGTTTTGTTCAGGAAGCACTTGTTCAAACTGGGTGCTATATCTATGCCGGCGAGGCACACACACACTTTTAGTGACCTCAGTGGGACGAATTCAACGAGATGAGAGTTAAGTTTATACTAATAGTAACATTGAGAATTTAAAAACAGAAGATATAGTTTTAAGGGAACAAATAAACTCAGGAAATTGATGGTAAGAGATAATAATAAAACCCCACATTTGTTAGAGAATAAATTAAACAACTCGCCTTCATTGAAACAAATTTCATAGTATTTTCAGTCTGTTTTAGCTTCAGGTCAAAAAACAAGAATTTCAGGGACTAAAATAATATCTTTATCTAACCACCTCTAGTCCTTTTCCCCTCTACTCGTATATCGGTCAGTTAAACATACCAATGTTCTGAACACTTCCATATCCCAGCACTCAAGAATTGTCTGCATTTTAGTTCTTGAAAAATTCCTAATATTATGAATTCATATCTTTATGGTAACTGAAAAATATAACTCTGATTATCAATTTTAATGGCAATGTATACCTACTTTGTGGTATTGCAAATCATAAAAGGTTTTACAATTTCATATATTTTAAAAACATCTATTAAGTATCTGTTCTAATTTGAATACCACCATACAATTTGTCAGCTCTCAAATGTTGTGTATATTATGCTGAAAACAAGTTTTGGCACAATTTACTGTTCAGTAAAAATGTTTTAACGCAACTAAGCACAAGCATATTTATTTTACAACGTTTTGAGTGTCTCAGACTGTCAAATTTTCATTGACTTGAAATTAATGAGTTTAGCCCACGAGTTTGTTTATAAAAACTACAATGTTCAAAATATACTTTTTGCCAAATTTATTGCTTTCGGTACATAGTATTAATTACGATCATATCATCTCTAGATATTACATCGCAAAACTATTCATTTGTAAGATTTACCATATTATATTCCAAAGTATGGTTAAATTGTTTACTAGACGATGTCAGTTGTACTTAGATGATGGTTGATGGCCTGAAAACTATAATAGTTTACTCTACAGGATTTTTTTATCGATGTTGTAAATAATGAAAATTCAATTTTTTAGTGAATATCCCCAGGCTACTCGTATAAAAATCTCTTGGTATTAAATGACCTTCATATATGAACTTATATTAGTTTCAATTACCTTAGGTCGGTATTGGTTGATTAACCGATTTAACTGTGAAACGTTTACTGTCAAATTCATCGACAATCTATATATGCTTCGAGTGTACCATTCTTCCCGTTCCTTCATCTTGATGAGAAGTGACAATTTTAATTCCTACAGTATCTTATGTAGAAAATGTTTCCCTATTTCTTCTCTCGACCGAATGTATTGCTTTAGCATTATACAATTAGAATTAAATCCATAGACCATTTTGAGAAAGAAGCTAAAAACATTGATTATTCATTTCAACTGATTAGCCTTTAAGTTATTATTATAATTTTAATGTGTCGAAAAATCATTGAAGTACTATCTGGTCGTCCTTCTAAGTTATCCTAAGTAGGCTTCAACGATTTATAAAATGATTTATAAAATTTCCTATTTTTTCTCCATCATTTTAGACAATCTACTTCTGCTTTTATGATCAATAATTTCCATTAGTTTTGATCTATGAGAATCACCTAAAAGTTTTCAAATTACAATTTTCAAATAAGACAAATGCCTAAGAAGAAAAAAGTCAAATCGGGGAAAAAGCGTGGCAAAAGATTGAAGAATTCTAGGAAAAAGGTTTGTTAGTACTTTATGTATTAAATAGCATTAAAAGACAGTGTTAGAAGCTAAAATAGACAAATTTTGTGCAGATGAGGAAAAGTACATTGACTTTTTAAAGCGTTCAAATTTGTGGATAAAATGTCATGCGGAGCAATTAAAAAATCTTCTTCATTTAACAGCCCACTACTCAGATTTAAACTTTACATATGATGATTTTAAAGCTGGTTTGTTCGTGTTTTATTATATTTTAAATTGTATTATGTTAAACAGCTCTGTTATCATTGAAGTGTCCATTTACAAAGTTTGAAATCGATGTAATTACAAGATTGCTTGATAAAAATAAGAATGGTTTTATTGACTATCAGGATTTAACATGCAGCTTAACAAAATTAAGGTAGGTTGACTTCTTGAAAATTTTAACATACTTTATTTGGAAAACTTTTATGTTTTTTTTCTTTTCGTTTACGTAAGTCGTCTATAATACTTTGGGATCTACGACAATTTATGTACTACAATGGTACATTTTAATCTGTATTCAAGTTAACATAGCGTATAGAAAAAAAATCAATGTTCTAGTTCTTACATAATTACTTGCGCCTGATACTCCTCGTAGAGGAGCATAGGCCATTTATCAGCATTTTCTATCGAACTCTGTCCTAGGCAGATCTTTCCAGTTACTATTCATTCTTCTCATGTCTGCTTCCAATTCCTGACGCAATGTGTTCCTTGGCCTTCTACTTTTCCTTTTACCTTGAGAAATCCAAGTTAGGGCTTTCTGCGTGATTCAGTTTGGTGATTCCCGTAATGTATGTTCTATCCACCTCCGACGTCTTTTCCTAATTTCCTCCTCAGCTGGAAACTGGCTTGTTCTCTCCCACAGTAGGCTGTTACTGGTGGTATCAGGTCAACAACGGACATTGAGTATCTTGTGTAGATAATTGTTTATAAATACTCGTACTCTCTTGATGATGGTTGTGGTAGTTCTCCAAGTTTTAGCTCCATACAGTAAAACTATCTTGAAGTTCGTATCAAATGTTTTGACTTTGATATTGTTTGATAGTTGTTTTGAGTTCCATATGTTCGTCAATTGTAGGGATTATTCCCTTGCTTTGCCAATCCTTGCCTTTATGCCTGCATCAGATTCTCCTTGTTCATTGATGATGCTGTCCAGGTACGTGGAAGTTTTCACTTTTTCTAGAGTTTCTCCATCAAGTGTGATTGGGTTAATGTCATCTGTGTTATATTTGAGGATCTTGATTTTTCCCTTGTGTATGTTGTGGCCTACTGATGCAGAGGCTGTTGCTACACTATCTGTCTTCACCTTCATTTGTTGGTGTGTATAGAATGAAAGAACTAGGTTATTTGTGAAGTCTAAATCGCCTAGCTTCATTCAACCTGTCTGCCCCCAAAGGCACTGGTACGGCCGAGAGTGAGGAGAGTCCGCTCTCCCCCTCGAAATGCTCTGACATGGCGACGAGTATATAGCCTCTGCCAGGCGAGCCCTACTCACTGCCTTCTCGTGGCAGGGGTGTTGTTTACGAAATTTAGAGGACGAAAAGCGAATATCCGATGCTTTAACCGGGTTGGTTGACACGGAGAGTCCATCTAAGGGGGTTGAGTAACCCTGATTTCAAACTTGTGGTGCACATGGGCTCCAGTACCCTGAGGGAACAAATGGCGTATAAACCAATCGTTAGTCACCGGCTACCATAGGACTGCATCTCCCAACGATGCTCCACTGCCTTGTGGGTCAGACCTTTAGGTCGAAGGCTCGGGGAGTGGCCTCCTAAGAGAACCACCTGCTTCGGTTTGGGCACCCGGGCAGTATCACAGCCCTCACACATATCAAATGAGATTTGTGTGGCTCATATGTATCTGGTACCCCCTTGTACTAGTATTTATGTGTTCAAACAAACAATTCAAGTTGTCTATTGTATTCCGTGCTTTCCTTGTGATGTGGAGGTTTTCATAATCCAGTCAACCATCAGAAGAGAAAGGGGGAGAGTAAACAGCCTTGTTAATTAAGTTTCCAATTTAAATTGAGCCTTTAAAAAACCATTTGTAGGCTTCACAAATCACAGTTCTATGTAATTTTACCAATAATTATTTTTCAAACTTCATAAATGTAAACAAAGAGCTATCATCTGAAAACCTATTAGTTTGCAGATTTCTTAACTCGTTTTTAAGTCTGATCTCAGTATTTTTGTGTATATGGATTTCTGTGAATTTCTACAAATTGATCAGGAATTAAAACCTTACTATGTCTACTATTATTTGTTCAGTTATGTAGTGTCACTGACCCGTACGCATTAAATATTGGTCGTGTATTTGTCCATTTAACTCAACATATGATTGATCCATCCATCATCACTTAACATACTTATCACGCTTATTCCAATGAAAAATAAGTTTTAACATACACAGCTATAAGAACACGTTAAAAGTTGCTAAGAAATATTCAACCAATACAGAGTAAATATCAAAACGGTGTTGTATTGATGTACAATATAAAATTGATTCATTCTTTAATTATTCTATTCTCTCTGCTTCAATTTACATAAAAAAAGTATCACAATAGTTATTTATATCCATTGTGTATAGATTGGTTTCTATGGTTTAAAAAAGTACTTCACTAACGACTGAGTTGTTTATTATATCCTGTTTAGATAATTATTATTTTCATGGAAAATGAAAATTTCTTCAAATTTAATAATGGTCCAAATATATAATGACGATTTGCCTTTTGTCCTGTTTCCAATTTGATCAACTAAGAATATTTACATTGATACTCGTTAAATAGGATGATAACCAAGTTGTGCTTTTGTAGCCTAGAAAATAAAATTCTGCCAATTAAACCCATGAATGTAAGGTTCACTTATGAGTGAGAACGCCAGTATTAAAATAAAATTATACTCAATAGCTGGTGACTATAAAATTTTCTTAGTGAATTAAGTTTTACATTGACATTTTACCAAGAGTATTCTTTAATGACCTTGGTATCTTCATGCTAATTCAAACTGTATCGTTTTCAATAATTACGTCAAAATTATTTTAACATTACACTATCATTGTGTTAAGGTGAAGCCGAAATACTTATTAGAATGTCCATATTCTTTCAGCTCAGCGATTTCCGCTTCTAAACTGAGTATAACTTCACCAGTTATTTGAATAAGTTTTAGTGATGCTAACTATTGATAAGCATAGTTTTAGACCAAACAGAAACATATAAAAAGGTTGTTTAAATAAATTCACAATTTCTGTTCAATACATTCATTGAATAACATGTTGGCTTTTCTAAAAAAAAACTCTCAAAGTTCTTGGATTAGTTTTATTAGTTAATAACATTTTGTAGTCACCTAAGAATTCTAGAAATCTGTCAACTAGATTCATTCGACCTAAGTGTAATTTTAATTTCATGTTTACAGATCTAATTATGAATAAATAACTCTGTATGAAATTTTTAATTTCATGTTCCATGATTGTATAGCTTTGATTTTGATTCTTTTAATGCTCCACAACTAATCAAAATTACTCATCAACTATTTGTCAACTATAATTTCAATTCTAAATCCAATTATATTTATTTTACTATTGGTTAGCTTTGAATTCGTCTGAAATTGCTCATTTGTTGATATATTTTAGTTAAAATTGTGCCCTGATACGGTCGAGGGTGGCGAGAGTTAGCTCTCCATCTTGAAATTCTCTCACACGGTCACGCGTATACAGCCATTGTCCGGGAAGTCCTACTCATTGCCTTCTCGCGCCGGGGTCGTTGGTTACGAAATTGAGAGGACGAAGAGCGAATGTCTGGTGCTTTAACCGAGTTGGTGGATATGAAGGACCCACTCACGGGGTCCTAAAGAAAACAAAATGGCGTATTGTTGGTCACCAGATAACATGGGATTGCATCTCCTAAAGTTGCTCCACTACCTTGTGGATTAGACAAAAGCCCGGGAAGTGGCCCCCTAAGTAAACCACCTAATTCGGTCGGTGCACCAGGGCAGTATCCCAGCCCACACACAAACCAAGTGACTTTTGTGGAGCACATGTATCCGGTGCTCCTTTGTACCAATATTTATGTGTTCAAATAAGAAAAAATAATAATAAATAACATTAACCCACTGAAGTATTGTTACAGTGTTAAAATGAAGTAATTATGTTATTCTTTAGAAATGTAAATTTTATTCAGGAAAATTTAACCTTTCTATATATTTTCCTGTTTTTCTCTTATTTAATAGTCTTGAAGATGGAACTCTAAAAGAATTAAGTATTGAAAGAATAGCAAAATCAGATAGAGGGTTTGTTAACTTTCGTGATAAATATAACTTAATCTTAACAAAAGAAATAATATGTAAATATACAATTATTATTTGCCTATGGTTGTCAGTAGCTTTTTTTAATGACTATCTAGTACCTTTGAAATGACAGTTTTTAAAGGCAATAATCTTACATGAAAATTGAATTGTAAATTGCTAAGAGTATAGTATAGGGATGAGCTTAAATTAACTGCGGAAATTTTTAGACCAGTTTTTAACCAATCAGCAAAACAACTCTTGTAAATGAATAGATTTTGGAAGAGAAAATAATCATCGTACAATATGTAAACATATTTTACATAATTAGTGAATTAATCAAAGTCCTTCACAGGTTGTAGTGTGAGCTACTGATGTCGACAGATATAAGTAGTATGTATCATTAATCAAAAGTGAAATGACTAGAGGAAGAAGGTTAAGAAGTTCAAAGAAAAGAGAACGAAAACAAAAAATGATTGTTGTGGAAACGAAAGAACAATGAAGTCTGAAACGATTGACTCTGGTATTTGCAAAAGGAACAGTCAAGTTTGAGATAATTGATTGACATTTTGCCAGTTCAGTATTTACTGTTTGGCTCTCAGATTTCACTATGTTCTGTAATTTTGTATTCTCATACATTCGATTGTCCCCACTTGTGATCTCGTTCACTATAAGGTTACTGTCTGTGAATAAAAGAACAACAACTTATAAATCCATCCAAATGAATATAAATTATCAGTCTTTTCGAGCCAAAAAAACAAATAGATTTCTTGAAAGCCCTACATTGTTTCTTATTAGGTTTGGAGATTTAGTGTTAAGACAAGAGGACTATGGTTGTGGTTTACTTAACTATTTAATATCAGCTATATTGTAAAAATCCACTGTAGCCATATTGATGGATGCATTTCATCAAAAAATTCAAGAGGCTCTGTCTGATTAGCTCGCTCATGAACTATAATGCCAACAAATTAAGGTTTGTTTCAAGATTAAGACTTTTGGGTTGGGATTTATGGATAGTACCTATTTGCCCCCTATATACAAGTTACAGAGGAAAAAATGGGCATCCGATACGTTTAGTATTATCCATTTTTTCCCTCACGGTAGAAAGAAACGATTTTTTTCACCATTTTAAACTTCATAAACACTGGGAAAATATATTTCTACTGCTCGTTATATGTGATGTCTGAATTTCGCGCTAAGATCGTAGGTTCACGTTCTCAATCCTAATTGCCTCATCCCTGTATTATACTTTTGCCACCGGGTCAGTTACGGCATGCTTTCAAGCCATGATTGTACCAAGTTTCTTAATCATAAGGCTTCATCGAACTGTTTTTAAATTAATACATTAAGGATCGTAGTACTTTTAAGTACTCACTACCATGGGGTTAGGTTATATATGGCGGACCACCTTATATGAGTAGGTTATTGCCTACCATTGACTGTCAGCAATAATGAGTTGATACTTACATATTATGTTGGATTACACAAAGTGGTTCAAAAACGGAGATATGTATATATACTGTTATGTGAGTCATTTTGGGCTTCCCAGCGGTGATATTACTAGCCGATAAGCTTGGAGATATGTATATTTACCCTGTCTTTCGTTGGGTATATTGTGAGATGTGTTAAAGTATTTTTCGTTTTTCGACTACATTAAATTGCAGCGAATATTTTTACTGGTATATTCTACTATCCATTAATCTGATTTTGTTTTGATCATCTGTTATTTGGCACGAAGTTATATTAGACGTTACAAACAAATGAAGCTAAATTTATTCATCATTACCTATCTACTTGCCAACTAGTGTTAGGACACTAATAAATATGAAGTTCGGTGAAATAACCACTATATGCAGCAAAGCAAAACCATTGACCAAAGTATTTCCTGATATAAGATAATTTATATTTTTTCTGTAAGATTTAACTCATATCTGTATTTATTGAAATTACAATTTTTAGGTCGGTTATTTGCAAGTTTAATTGTTTAAATTGTATAAATATCCATGAAAGTCCATTGCATTTTGAGCAGTTGGTTCCATTGAATACATACACTGAAGGTTTGGTTAACATTATTCGGTGAGTTTCCAAAAAATTAATCGCTAGCTAGTTAGACCTTAGTAAAGATATATCTATGTTTACCCATACTTTTGATTCTTTTTTAAAAATGAATACTTAAATATTTGAAGTTGTGGAGATTTTATGGGAAATGTTAGTATATTACAAATTGACTGAGATAGATAGAATAATTGGACTCTAAGTAGGTTAGTGGCACTGTATTAGTAATGACCACATCCCTTATTTATACGTGCAAAACAAGGAACCACTACAATCCCCATGACGCGAAGTAAGAACACAAAATATTGGTACAAGTAGAAATTTATTAGCTCTGAAGACACGGCGATCGCAGTCGGAATTATACTCATTTATATATTAATCTGTACATCCATTTGATCATTGATTAGAAAAAAGTCACATATGAAAAACACCCAAAATTATGACGAAATCGTATACTGTATATCATATTGAACATAGTTCACGTTAATGCAATTCAGTTAATATTGTATCTTTCATAACTATCTCACTGAGGTAAATCACTGTTATACAAGACAAAATATTACACTGAGTAGTCATTATGTTGAACTAAAGCGGTTCATAAAAAATGTTTTGATTAAAATATATCATTTGGAATTTTTCCAGTGCTTTCTACCGTACTGAAACAGATTTTGCGAACGTTTTAGTTTACCTCATGGAAATAGTAGGCTTTCGATATATCACTTACTGTTTGTTAGACAACACCAAGTTTGGATTAAATTGGAAGCTTGGTTTTTTATCCTTATAACCATTACATCTCGATGTTTGAGGTCCGGTACGGGTCTCCAATACCTTCAGGATTAGGAATGATCGAGTCACTTTAATACGACTGGTTTTATTGTATAAATTGATAATAGCAACTAGCACACAAAACAACATACAACTCCATATATATATAGTAACAATAACATAACCTTCAAATATGCAGAAATTTAACAAACTAAAATCAGCGGCAACCGGTTAGGAGACGGCAAAAGTCATGAACAAAATCTTATGATGGGAAAGGTACTTGTGGTTATCGTTTCTATAAAGAGTTTAACATCAAAGAGGAAGAATGTATTTGTAAAATCTCAGCGAAAGAATTTGAAGGAAGATATCTTCCTTGAAAAAGCTTGGACCAGATTGCCAAGCGAAACGTTGGATTTACTTCAAATTCTTTCGCTGAGATTTTACAAATACATACTTCCTCTGTAATGTCTCACATTAACTCGGCGCCCAAATACTGTGAAACTATTCGTCCAAATTTAGACGAAAGTTCTTGTTATTCTGCAATCGCATCAAATTATCGAAGAGTTTAACATTGTTAACAAAATTTGGGTAATCTTGTGATCACATTAGCAATAACATATAGCTAGCAACATTCGGTCGGTAAGCAGAGACTGATTCCCAGATGAATGGCTCTTCCCAAGTAATAAAGCAGTTCCTAATTATCGGTCACTGTGGACCTTTGCTTATTTGTGAGACGATATTAGTAATTAAAGAGTTTTAGGTAAGCTTACAACAATCAGTGCTTACTTTTACTTTAAATTCTATGATGTATCTGTTTTCTTTTCATTGCTATATTGATCATATTTAAAGGGTTTTTGAAGAGACACTATTTTCTGTTTACTTTCTTTATTCTTTCAGTCATAAAACGTTATTATGGTTACCGAAGATTTCAATATTTTTAAGTGTGAATGCCGAGCCTGCAAGTGAGCTACTATCAGAATTAATGCTAAGCGATTATGATATAAAAAGTGGTGCGAAATATGATGCACCAAAGTTGGATTTGTTCTACAAACCTACTGGTCAAATATTATCAAATGATCATTATACTGTCGAATTATTAGATACAGTTGACACTCTACAGTCTGATCCTGTTTTATGGTCTAAACTTGTGACAGAAAATATCAAATTTCAAGAAACTTCACCACATAATTTTCAACTACTTGCTAATATAGATAGTAGTATAAGTCCTTTCACATAAAGTTGCCTTCAGCCTGTAAACAATCTCTGTAAATACTAACGGATGGTAGATTTATTTTTAAACAATTCTGACAGATGTTTTTATTTTTTCAATCTATCCTTATCTTACCAGTATTATAATTTACTAGAAAGAAGTTATTTTAATAGTTATAGCTTAGAAGTTCTGTTTTTTTGTGTACCATTGAACGTTTAACGATATCCTTGGGAAAAAATTTTCTCCTTTGTTGATTAATAATTAGTTAAATTTCTTCTTGATTTAAATCGTTTGTAAAACCCAATGAATCTGACTATAAGCTTTAATCTCACAATCCTTGTTTAACAATCTATAGTGAATGGTAGATCAACAGTTTCTGACATGTCAAATAGTTTGAAAACTTATCCAGATTGTCCACTAATATGGACAGATCCGATAGGATAAACCTATTGTCTTAAGTGTTTCACAACAATAATATTTTTAAATATTATAATATTTGGTTTTCAACATTTACTTTTTCAATGTAATGAATACTTTTAGGATGAAATTCACTGGATTTCTGGTTAAGCCTTTTTTAACTAATGGACTCCATAAGAGTGATAAAGTTTCAAAAAGGGGCTAAATCTCCGATTCAAACTACTTTCTATGCATTCAAGAATATAGCTGTAATATCGTTGTTGATATGGACTATAGTTTTGTAGTCACGTTGAAGTTCGTTATGATAACATTTAAACTGTTTAAGCATTTTAATTCCGTTTATACATTAAGTAAGTAGTTAAGTAACCTCTTAATCATCAAATTCTTCCTGATAAACGGATCCATTCATCAAGAAGTGAACAAGTTATGAACGTAACAGAAATTGTTTGTTGTATTCTGTATTAGAGCTATGAAAGATTATATTTAACCATATAAGAACATTTATAATCCGTTGTTATGACGTGAAAAATAATGCTGCTGATTAAGGGTAGCGAATTATTGATCGGACCAAAGACGCACAAACACGTAGAACGACCTAGGGTTCTGATTGGTCTCGCTTCCCTGTCTAGCCCAGTCAGTTGAGTCCAGAACACAAGTCACAGCCTCGGATATATGAATCACTATATTTCAAACATACTTTGTTTATATACCAGTCAAGCAGACCACAACGTACCATAAAATAGAAAATAACATTGTACAATATTGGCCAACAGGAAAATAACACGTTAAATAAATATTGACCAATAAGATGATACCATTTCATGTCCAAGGATAGCATTAGGCTTAACAGGATAATTTTTGGGATATTTTCCTGAATATCCCAACATCCGTGAATAATTATTTTTTTTAAAAAGGAGTTTGCTTCATTTCTGTAATAGACTTCAATCAATATTATTTCATAAATTTGTATGTTCTAAAAATGGAATGTTCTACGTAGATTATCATTAAATAGATACCTGCTGTGTGTTATAAGACTAACTGAAGGGAACAAGGTGAATTCCTATATTTCTATGTCAAATCGTGAATTAAACTTACTTTATTTGTAATTATTTTTGTCAATTAGTTACAAGTAAAGAAAAAAAAGTTTTTTTTCACAGTTTAAGTATACTAGATTTTAATTATGTAAAATAATTTCAGTTGAAGGAATGTAATAATGACAAACTTTTGATACTAAAAGATCTATCATAAGCAGTTCAGTAGGCCTAGGAAATCTATTGACTCACTCTAATCTCTGCTTTATTGAAATAATATTTTGTACTAAGTTCAATGTTGTATGTCTTATTGTTATTTTTATTTGTATGATAGTATGGAAGCATATAAGGTACACAAAATTATCAAGAATAAGAATCGGACAGGCAATCTAACCACTAAATAAATGAATAATAGGCTCGAATAGCGTATATTCTGTCATGCAGTTTGTATAAAAAGAAAACTAACCTTTTTTATTGTTAGAAGATGAATCTTATTATTCATGAAGAACATGGAAAGAAAACTTTGGCATGATGGCCAATAGCTTCTTCCGTTAGTGTTATCTGACAAGCCACTGGGATTTATAATCCCTGAGCGCCCATCTAGAGAGTTATGGTGAACCAGCAAACATACAACCAATAAAACCGATTTTCATATACAACCATATTGACTATTTTCAAACTATCTTTGTTTAACATACAATCTCAGAGGGAAGTTCTGCCAACGAACCAAAGAATTAATTTTCTGAAAGATCATAACAATTTTTGTTTGAGATACGTGAGACAGCTTCTAAGCATTTTGTGGAGGATAAGGACCTGGATGAAAACCGAACACCTCATTGCAACTCAACACTTAGTGAGTTTTGCTCAATCTGTGAAATATGGCTAAAGCGACCATATAAGATGTGACTTAACTATTACATAAATCACTCAGGTCCTCTCTAAGTATGACAATTTTATGCATACTAGAATAATGATAAAACAGTAAGTTCCTCATATCTTCGTGAAAGATATCAGTTAGTTACCCTCCTTTATCCTTGAGAACTATCGGAGGTAAATAGTCTGTTTGAGTAGCAATGAGGCTTTAAAAGGTAAAGCTTCTTTCATATCATTATTTTACCTAAATTTTATTCACTAGTCTGTGTAAACAATACTACTTCTTTTTACTATAACACTGAATAATATACTGCAAATATATATAATGAATAATAAAACTTTTATTTACCTAAAATTCACAAAAGGAACCTTTTATATTATGCTTATATACTTTATTCAGTGAATTTATGAAACAGACATTACACAATATAACATATTAGTTTTCATCCTCTAAGTCACAGAATATCTTGCAAACATTTTGTTACGTCCTCATAAGAATAATGAGTGGTAACTTTTGAGATCCATTTATGGACCAATACTATGCGTATATTTTTATCGTATAATTGTTAAATAACTAAACTATTCATATTAATGTCCTTCTTATTATGAGCTTCATTTTGACTTATGAACTATTATTTTACGATTTACTATTCTTGAGTTATACCCAGTCTATCAATTACTATCTCCCACATTCACAGCCACATTTGTACAAATGTTGTTTCCTATTTTATGGTACGATATGATCTGTTTGATTGGTATGTAAACCTCGTATGTTTGAAATAAATGATTCATATCGCAGAGGCTGAGATTGGTGTTCTGGACTTAACTGGCTGGGCTAGGCAGGAAGCAAGACCAATAAGTACTCTAGACTGTTCGTACGTGTTTTATGCGCATTGGTTCGGTCGATAATTCACTGCTCTCTAATTGGCGGTATCGTTACGTTATACATTAACAGGGCACACAGGCCACAAGTTATAACACTTTTTTGAGTTATTTTCAAGGACACCTAAAGGCGTTGAATTCAATCACCACTTTTTCATCAACATTTCGTTATACTATTTATTCCTAGAAAATGGTAAGCTCATTTAAGCCTAGAGTATTCAAAAAATTATGATAAAAATTAATTACTTCATCAATATTACCCAGAATAGAATGTTAAAATGAATTTTAACATCGCAATAGAATTCAGTTTGACTAGAGTAATAAACGTTGCTAAGTTTTTCTTAATTATGAGTGAAGATTCACCTTATGGTTACAAGTGTTTAGTGTTTTAAAATTGTATCGCTCATTAATACATAGAATTATTAATTATTATGCCTTGATAATGATCTAGACTGAAAGGTATAGATTTTTCCACAATCTATACTTGTCATTTGAATATGAAATGTTAAATCAACAAATCCACTTGTTCTTTCTGCACTATTGATCATTATTTGACCCCTCACGGGACAAACTGTTCAAAGTGTGACTATATATTATCTGTCAGACAAAACCTACGGAGCATTTTCTATCTCAGATAAATTGAATAATGTGTTGTGTACATTTCGAGTAAATAATTTATTCATAATAAAAACATCTAATTCACTTATGAAATAAATTTTAATTTACAATTATTTATGATAAAATCTCATAACAAATAGATTTAATAGTTGAGTTCATGAATTAATTAAAGCTAAATCACCATGGAAAATCTGGAAGCAGTGGACAGCCTGTATCAGTATCAGATTTTGGATACCGCTCATCACAACAATAATATACTGTTAAAATAAAGATGTTAATTCTATTATTCATGATAACTTTGGTTTCTTAAAGCTCTCTAATGTATTTTACTAACTAACGATAATCATCAAATAAATTAATATTCTTATAATAATATTTCATAAACTATATAATTAAAAAAGTAAAAGAAATTCAACAATGGATCTCTAATATTAAATTGTACTAATATCTGGAATTTTTTCACATTCTATATATTTCTCGTAATTGATGTTCATTCATACCCCCAAAATGACCTGGTACAGCCGAGAGTGAGGAGAGTCCGCTCTCCCTCTCGAAATGCTCTCACATGGCCGTGCGTATATAGCCTCTGCCAGTGAAGTCCTATTCACTTCCTTCTCATGGAGGGTGTGTTGTTCACGAAATTTAAAGGACGAAAAGCGAATGTCCGATGCTTTAACCGGGTTGGTTGACATGGAGAGTCCACCTAGGGGAGTTGGAAAACCCTCATTCCAAACTTGTGGTGCACATGGGCTCCAGTACCCTGAGGGAACAAATGGCGTATAAACCAATCATTAGTCACCGGCTACCATAGGACTGCATCTCCCTACGTTGCTCCACTGCCTTGTGGATCAGACTTTTAGGTCGAAGGCTCCGGGTGTGGCCCCCTAAGAGAACCACCTGCTTCGGTTTGGGCACCCGGGCAGTATCACAGCCCTCACACAAATCAAATGAAATTTGTGTGGCGCATATGTATCTGGTGCCTCTTTGTATCAATATCTATGTGTTAAAATAAATAAAAATAAATAACATTATTGATATTTTTTAATGAATTATTAATTTATGCACTTCACTGTCCAATTATCTGAACACTTCTTATTCAATAATCTCATAGTTGCTATGACTGTTATTTCAGTATTTATATTTCTTAAGCTATTGACCTATTTCTGATTATTGATTTGTAACACTGATCACATAATTATGAAAACT